CCCCCCCCCCCACCCCCCCCCCACCTTTTCGGGCAACAATTGAGTTCAAGAGCGTGGCAAATGACGTCACCTCGTTCTCGGCGGTGGTATTGGTGTGCAGCGCCTGGCCATCTACCCGAAGGAAAGAAAAAAGCGAATCCGAGGGCAAGCATACGCATATTTAATTTGTTCCTCGTTTCCTTGCAAATTTTTCTTGGAGGAGGGAGTGCACGTTGGTGCGCGATGGGCCCCAAGACGTTGGGCGCTTGAAAATTCATGTCTCGATCTATCCACCCAGAGACAAAGAGGCAAAAGACATGACATTGTAAAAAACATTTAAAACAACAAACGCATATAAATAGTCATTGACGACTCGCTGACTAGTGTTTGTGTCTGTCGGTTGACACGTCTGTAACCGCTGCCGGTTGCTGCAGGAAGGTACACAACAGGCCGAAGGGCGACGTGGAGTACCTGACCATCTACCCGGAGGCCCTCCTGGAGGTGCTCAAGGAGGAAGACAACGACGTGTGCATGACCATGACGGTGTTCCCGCAGGAACTACTCACCCTCGTGGCCTTCCCGGAGCACATCGCGCCCTACTTCTCCTCCATCTCCGTCACGCACGGCCCGGTGAGACCACCGTAGGTTGCTTGAGATACCACGCCCCCTGGACCGATTGTCAAAGCCCGATTACTCCACGAGGAAGAGGGTGCCGAAATCAAGCCATGCGTTTTCGGAAACATGTCGACGAGACTGTTCCAACACCGCTATTTTTTCAGTACCGTCAACGTTTCCTGGCGAGTATCCTTCTCGCACTAAAAATTGAAGGAAGAGTACCGCAGGAGGGGTGGGGTGGGTAGGGGACCTCACGGAGAGGAACCCTTGTGTGTAGCCATGGGTTGGAGTAAACGGCACAAATTCTGTGAGCGTCGAGTCGAAGCGAAGACGAAAAAAAAAAAAAATCGAGCTATGAAATCGGTCGAAGTGGTGTCATATCTTACGTCATGCAACATACGGTAGCTCGTAGGGGCGAGAAGTATGGGCCCTAGGGTTGGGGTTAGGGTTAAGACGTACAGATGTAGCACCCGCACGTGCGAGCCTCTTAGTTCTAGTCGAGGCTGGGTTTCCTTGTTCCTCTGGTGGGGGTTATGAATGGCCGCTTGTAGTGTGGGGGCTCTTGACCGGGCTTGCAAGTGGTGCTCAAGTTCTTAATTTTGAGATGTTGTCGACCATGGAGTTCTTAAGTGCGGACGCTTATCCGTACGCCCTCAGCTGATCCTCCAGTCGCGGGTTGTACATGTAGGGAGACCTTGCTACCAAACCCCGGTAGAGAGAGGTATGTAGAGATATGTGTTGTTGCTGTGGAGAGGCCCCGCTGACGGGACAACAGGGGGTCATCATCATCGTGTCCAGATACCATTCCAGGCCCCAGCAGCTCCCAAATCTACCAAAGTCAATCGGTCTGGGGGTACAAGTGAAATAGCACACCGGAGCTTGTGGGCAGGTTACTTGTTTTTTGTTATTGGTACTTGAATACTCTGTGAAGGAAGAAACTTCAAACTTGTGGAAATATTGCGTCGGATAGCTTGGATTCCCGGGGCAGGGTAGGGTTGCAACTGATGTGGTAGCGTTGTGAAAAGGTTGCGGAACTCCGTTTTCGAGGCGTCGTGACGCGCGCCCACCGCGCATGTCTGTGCCCCGTTGTGTCTGTTGATTTGCGACTAGCCCGTGCAAAATGTGTTTTTCTCTCGCGTGTGTTCTCTAGTCTATTGCATATGCGTTTAGTGCTCTTGCTGCTGGCCCCGGATCAGGCTTTTTAATTCGCTGACTTGGACCGAACGTCTGCCCTTCCCCATCCTTTGTGGCGTCGCTCGGTCTTTGGCACGCTTTTTGTCCAGGTCGCGCGAAACATGGTCGGCCAAGACGTGATCGAGGTGGGCATGCAGTGACTGTCAGAGCTCTTTGTATTCCCCACAGCCGTACGTGCTGCTTGGCAAGATGTGTGCGCTAAGGGGTTCAAACTATTGAAATACCCAGAGAAAGTCTCACCGCTCGCGACTGCACCGTAGTGGCATACCGCACATCGTTATTAATTTATTAGCTTGATACAGCAGGAGTCAGGAGATCCAGGTCCAAAAAATGTACTTCCAACTACTGCGTAACAAAAAGTTGTGAATACTACACTAAAACCGTACGGTGAGATAAGAATCCTACACATAACGCTATTCGTATATTCTCGGTGTTAGGTTATGGTGTTCCCCACTGAAGACTTGTGGTCTCAGGGTGGACCGTACTGCTGTCGCCGGGTATCCCCGACATGCACGAAAGTTGTTTGTTGAGCGTGTGAGGGATGGGTCTCGTTGTATGGAATTCTCAAGCTAGGTCAGCGGGAACTCAGATGAAACGGAGGAAAACACATGTAGCAGAGTGGATGCTTGCGTAGCACTTCTTTGATCCCTGGGCGTTTGCTGTCCTCTTCTCCCTCTCGTTGCTCGTGGTAATAAAAAATGGCAGGTCCTGCTTTCGAATCATCCCGGTGCTAGCGGAGGCCCCGTGGTCGACAAACGGGGAGAGGTGAGACGGGGCGTGTCTCGCCCGCGGCACCCCCCCTGGTTGTCACATTTGCCAACATGTGACACTCAAGTTGGTCAACACCTACAATATAGGTTCTTCATCTCGCCTTTTTAGGAACGAGGGTGGACGAACACGATCGACTGATTTGCTGAACATGACTTGCTGAAACATGATTCGGAGACGGTTAGGATTGCGACAATCTGGGACTGGTGTGTAGACTGCAAGGCTTGAGATGAGTTTGAAGTCTCTACTTGTACGAGTGCGTGGCAAGATGAACGATAGCCAATCCCGGCATTCCAGTTTTCAGAGAACGGGGGCGTGAAAGTGGCTTACTTTTGGTGATCTTCGCAAACGAGCACTATATTACGGTGGTTAATAGTTGTTTCGTTCATGTTGGAAAAACGTGAATGCCCTATTCATCCATTGCTCCATATGCCGTATGGTGCAGTATGGTGCATTTAACGGGACATGGCTAATGTTGTCATTGCAAAATGATGAGGATATCATCAATTCTCAGGCCTGGCTCTGACCCTACCCGCTTACCCCTATCTACCTACACGCCGACGGCGAAACCGATGTCGTGCTTAGCGGGTAGGGTCAGAGCCAGACCCGCGTTTCATGATGTCCTCACCCCTGTTATAGTGCAACTCTGGATCATGTCCCGTTAAATGCACCCTACTGCATAATATAGCAGACAGAGCTACGGGTATTCATGAGACCAAAAGGTGATCATAGTGTATGTTGTAGGTGTCATGCAAGCCTCCGTGTGAACAGTACGCACAGCTCTCAAGCCAAACAAAACCCTAGAGTTGAGCTCCCCACCCCGGTCACCACCCCCACTTGTTTCTGCACCCATCCATTGCTGCTCTCGATCGATTGCAAATTCTGCGATGCTAAAAGGTGGTTGGCATCCTCAGCCAAGGGAACCAGTTCGGCGCGTACGTGATGGGGATCTCGACCGCCAAGACCATCTTGAACGCTTCCACTCCGGACCTCGAAACGATCTTCACGGACCGCCCTTTGGTGCAGCGGTGCAAAGCGCGCCACGCCGCCGACGTTGTCCACGCGGCCGCCCTCCGTGCCGCGGCGAACGCCGCCGCTACAGATAGAAGCGCTGCTGCCGTTGCCAACGCCGGCGGGGGGGGCGTAAATACAAGAAGTTGATTAATGTTTACTGGGTTACTTGTTTTTCGTGAGTTGTGTTGCGCTCTTTCGAGGTGAATTGACGCGCCGGTGGTAATGCCTGAGAGCAAGCAATTGGTATCCCACCGGCCCTGTCAGCACTAGCACAACGAGCGAGTGTTTTCGTAGTGTGCGCGGGTCGTTGTGCATTTTAAGTCAGGACACAGGTAACACGTAAGGGGCGAGGATGAGGGGGCTGCTGGAATGCTCAAGTTCACGTGAGGAGGTACGCCGGAATCGGGGTTTGTTGGTACCACCTGAGAAGAAACTGTTGTTGTCGTTGTTTTTGTTGCTGTTCTCGTCGCCGTATTTGTTGATGTTCTGTTCACAGTGAACCATGACCCGGTTGTGCCTGGTACCAAGTACAGTACTTGTTGCATCCGTTTTCCGTGCTAGTGTGCCATTCCGGCCGGTAGCAACCGCAATTTCCAAGAAATTTCCGTCGTCACAGGGTATCCCAAATACTTCGAGGATAGCACACACAACACAAGAGGAAGTCCACTGCCACCCACTGGACTGAGAGAACTTGGAGCCGAACCGATGGAGGTTGCAATGGATCCACCTCCAGTTGTACAGGGCTTCAAAGGGGCTAGGCCGCCTTTTTCATTACATTTGAGTAAATAGAAGTATAGCTGCGGCCTCTGCTGCCGCTGGCAGGTGTTGTATTTGGAGCACCGCGTATAAGCCCTCTTCTTTGAATGTACAAACCCAGGTGGAGCGTCGTCGTGACTCTAGGCACAAACCGTCGTTCTTGCCCGCAAAATTTTCAACAGGAAGCGTTCGTATATTTGTTTTTCGGGTCGAGGGGATCCTGGAGCCCAGTTCTGATTCTTGTTTTTTTCCTGGTTCATGTTTTTTGGGATTAGCTTTTGCCTCTATACAGGCAGTGGTAATGAGGTGGCCGTTCTGTTTCTTGTTACTCGTAGCTGGGGTGAGTTAGATTTGTAGAGCAAGGCGTGCAGGCTTGGCGGGGCCAGTGTTTGCGGCATCACGGATATACCACGTGCTTGTAGCAGCTTCCCTCTTCAGGCAGCTCCGAGTATGTAGTATTCTACTCTCCTTTTCACGAGCAAGTCCTGCTGGGGCTACTGCTGTCTCTGTCTGGTCTCTGTCTGACTGGAGATTGGACGAGTGACGCTCAAGGGAGAGATATGAATACAGGTCCGAAGTGGTTTGAGTAGGGGTGAGTTTACACTTTTAACTACAGGGAAGACTTTTAGGCGTTTATTTTACTGGATGGACTGGAAAAGAGAGAAGACTTAGCGAGGGAGAGGGAGAAAGACTTACAGGGAGACAGGGAGAAGAAGGGCGGGGGGGCGGTAAGTATTTTTGTGTTGCAGTTTGGTTTTCTGGTCTTCAGCCGTTTGAGGGTGGTATATATGGACGGGTAGGCGTCAAAATGTCAAACGTGCCGATCGGGAACGTGCAAAATGCTTGACGGGAACGCGGGTTGCTCCTTTCCAGCAGTGATTTTAAAACTTTTCCTTTTACGTGTTTCTGCATACCTACAAAGTTTTCTTGTTTCGCCAGTTGGAAACAGGCGGCCTGGCCTACAGCAGTCTTTTCCTGTTGCTCTACACGAATCGACCGGGATGTAACGAAACACCGCGTGCACGAGAGATTCGTAGATAAGAGCTCCCGAAATATGACTCAGCGGATAATAAGCAAGATCCCGCCGAAAACATGTCCACTCTACTCTTTGGAGTAGCGCCCTATACCGCACCACCGAAGGCGAACCCAGGCAGTCAAGACACACCGTGTGCTGCATCGAATCGGTGGCGTGTAAGGCACCCGTCCACGCGCAGGCGACCCTCCAAAATACGGCCGCACCCGCCTGCCCCTTTTTGGTCCGCCCTGTGCGGACGGCTGTTGGCAACAGCCATTTTTGCACCTAGGAGGCTTCGGTTTCTTTTTCCATTGCGGTGCTGCCAAATATCACACATTGGAAACACCTCTATGCAACAATGCTGATGTCCACACAACAGACGGCGGTGGCTTTCATCTGCATCTTCCGTTGTGAACCCCGTACCCTCATGTGCCATCACCCGTTCCAAAACCCTCTCCGGTTTGCGTACGTTACACCCACGACCGGCCGGCAACCTGCTATGCCCAGTGTGTTCACTATTATTGCGATGAGGTGCGCCTTTGGAACAATTGTCGGTTAGGAAATATACATACAATCAAGGAGAGACTACCCATTCGAGATATAACAACAGTAGTCGAAGGGGATGGTTGAAGTTTTTTCAATGAATTGGGGTATCTTGAGTCTATTTAAATCTGTACACTGAAATTGAAACAGTGATGCAGTGCCGTAGCGACCAAAGGGCGCCCCCCCCGCTCCGACTTCCGCTGCAGCACCTCACGGACCTTGTCGACCCTGGTGCCTGCAGCACCATCCCGACGCGCTTCATCCCCGTGACGTAGGGATGCGAGAGCCTACGGTAGCACGCTAAGGGAATCGCCGACACGGAGTACAATTAGCCCCCACACTTACGAACCTCTAATTTTGGTCGAGGCTGGGGTCTTCAGTTCCTGTGGCTATGCGACGAATGGCCGCTATATAGCTTGTTACAGGTTCTTAACCGGGCTCACAAATGGTGCTCAATATCTAAGATTTACAGTTTTTCAACGGCCAACTTCTTATCTGCCAAGCGGGCGTCAACTGTATGCACGCGCCGGGGCCCCCAAGATCGCCCGTTCCAGTCGCAGATCGGGTGCAAAATGCGGCAGTGCGTGGTGCCATTTCGTTGGCAAGACTGCGGTGGTGGTGGTGGTGGTGGTGGTGGTGGCATCACGGCCGCTTCGCCTTAGCGTCGCCCCCTCCGGTGAAACTCCACACAGCGGTGTCCAGCCATTCCACCGGCCCCCTCGGTCTCGCGTCTGGCACAAGGGTCGCCCGCACCCGCGTCCCGGTCTCTTCCTGCGACCACATTCGACAACATATCGGTGTTTTTTTTTCGTCCTAATTATTATGGCGACAGTCCCCCCAGTTTTCGTGGTGAGGCGGTCGGGAACACAAAGCATCAGGATTGCTCAGTAAAAACGGCCGCAACAGGGGGAGCAGTAGAAAGGGTGAACACCTACCTAAAAGATACGCGTATATTGACGCCTGCATCAGTACACAACAGAGGGAGCCGTAGAGAGGTTGACCACCTAACGATACAGACGCTTACAGCAGTATATCCAGCTCTCAGTAGGATCGACGCAAATCCATGGTAGTGCTTCACGTTCCCTCGTGGGGAAACGGAGCTGTTCCAGCGCGTGGTGCGCCACCGCCCGGGGGGAAATCAGATCCAGCGGACCTCTCCAATAAGCAAAGCTCCAACACACATGTGGAAATACCAAGCATATTCCCATACTCTGCAGCAAATAGGACATCGAGTTTGACACAGTCTGCAATCGCTCCTTCGCACGAGAGCTTCGGCTGATGCCTACAACACGGTTCACGAAACGAACGGAGCAAGACCGGAGACCGCCTTCAAATCCCTTCCCACACCTGCATCTCCAGAACCTCCCCGTCCCGCGATAGAGGGGGGGATCCTCCCGCGCTGGCGTATTCCAACCAGTCGTCCAATAGAGCGTTCACCGTCTTCGGCGTCTCGTGGTGAGGGCTGTGGCCGGAAGGGGAAACCTAGCGCATGATAGTTCGGGGGGGGGGGGGGGGGGGGGGGGGG